ATCTCGAAAAATAATTGGCTAGTGCAATAAAAAAGTCACATGACCGGAAAATTTTTTGTGGGTGAGCTACTAACGTCCCTCGAACTCGAACCATGCACGCCCATAGCCCGTGCCACTCGACCACGTGCCTATACGCTGTTTTTCCGTGCGATCCCGGGCCACTTTTCTTATAGGGCAGTGTAGCTTCGGAACAAGCATTCTCCATAGCAGGTCTCACTATCTCACCAAGAAATAGATTAGAAGACGAATCTTAAGTTGTAGTATATCGGTATGTGCTTGAAATTGCCTTGAGATATAAATATTTTAATTGGAACATCTAAAACCAATTTATTAGAATTTATCCGTTTATTTAATTGACCCGTTTGACCCAGGTCAAGACCCATGACCGTCAAGATGCTGACTGGTCAACCTGACCCAGGTAACAGCTCAGCTCTACTAAAGCTAACTATTTTTTTAAGAATTAAAATTTCCTCTCCGATCAATTGACTAAGGTGCTTGAGAACACCCTTTATTTGCATATAAACAATTACTTGCGTTGAACTAAAGAAATGAATTAAACAAATATTTTACATTTAAATAATCAAACTAATATCATCTAATATCAATTGAAGGTTTACCGCAATAATTTTTATGCTTACACAATTATCGTGAGTATATATTTTGATTTCATGCACACCTATTTGTATGCCACCTTTGTTCTAAAAAATAACATTTACTGTGTAAATTTATTGTTAATTTTTAGTTCAGCAAGTTTAACGAGTTCAGATATAAAAGTAAAAAAAGATTTTTTGATTGATTTTTCTTAACCGATCAGTTCCTTTTCTTTGACTCTTTGATTATGTATAAGAAAATTATTGTAGGATTTTATTAGACTTAAATTCAAACTTGATTCTATATTCTCAAAAGTATATTTTCTAAAGTTCCCAAAAAAAATTTTTTTACAGCATAAGAAAATTAATTTCTTTAATAATAAAAGAATTTGTTAATGTTCTCAAATAAAAAACATATTTTAATAATTTATGATCTCAAAAATTATGCAGTGAACACTTACAGTAGAATATTAAACACTGATTATACGTCGGTTTGTATTACTAACGCTAAACCGAATGCACTTCATGACAGTTATTATATGCATTTCAATCTGGTGCCTAAGTTTCTCTTCTGATATGATACAAAACAAATATAAAAGAACAGTACGTAAAAGTTTTTTTTTTTTAATATATAAAAGCTTGCTCAAGATGTAGTATATACCAATCAACTGAAAAGAAAGATAGTGTGAAAGCTTCGAGCTGCGGAATTTAAAAATTTAAAAAAAAAGTCGGGGGTTTTTTTTTTTTTTTGATATAAGATTTTAATAATTATAATTATATATTTATTAATCACTTTAAATTTGTTTTATAATACATTTTTTTTTTAAAAAAAAAGCTCTAATTTGTAATAATTATTAAATAATAAAATTAACGGTTTTATTTTTGGCTGAAAATAAAGTAACAAAACTCTAGCACAGCAAAAACTATGAAAATAAATAATACGGTATATTTGAGTACAAAAAAAAAAAAAAAAGTAATCAAAAGGGAGTAAGACGAAATTACACATTTAATTTTAAGTTACATATGTAAAAATTATACTTTTTTAATTTCTGCTTTACCGGCTTCAACATAATTCCTCCTCTTAATCAAAATATATTTACCGACAATTTTTTCAATAGTCAAATTGGCAACATCACATTCAAATGGTGATGTGCCTGGAACATTGATTGTAAGTTTATATTTAAATGCATCTGTCATGTCAAAAATTACTTTATCATCTTTGTCAATAATCTCAACTTGATAATTATCAGGGTGTGCATTTGGAAACCCAGTATTAAATTGTCCTGTAATTCTGAGTTTACCACCGGCGATTTCAGCGAAATGAACTTCACCGGTAACTGTGTTTACGTTATTTACATAAGGAAAGGTGGCACTCGCAACGTCTCCAACATTACGTTTTGTCGGATTTGGATATGGACTTACAGAGATTATGGTAAGGAAAATGAAAAGAGAAATGAACCAAAATTTTACAGATATCATTTTTTTAAGTTTATGTGTTTAGATATTAATAATTTCTTTTTAGATTATAAAAATATCTTTTTTTCAAATCGAATCGAATTATTATCGAATTTTCGAAATTAAATTTATGTACAAATACAAATCAGATCAAAAATCAGAAATGAATCAAAATTAAATTGGGTCTGATATGTCTTTATATGCTGTTCTTTCTTCAACAAAATACAGGTAAACTTGCCGATCCAAACCTGGCTTGTCCACTTTCGATTGACTCTAAGCAAAAATCCTAATAGCTTTGGGATCTTTAAAAAAGGAAAACTGCTACGAAAAAAAAATTTTATTTTTTGTTTTTAAAGTTGATATCCGAATTCTTTGCAAATCTTTCTCTTTCATCTTAAATAATATTCTTTTTTGTATTATAAGCCACCACTGAAAAAACTCGTTCTCTTGCCCAAAGCCTCGTTAATATTTTATCTGAATAATTCGTCTTGATTTTAGTCTAAGTCACGATCGCCAGATCTTCATTTTAAGCCATGATTGATCGCGGCTACCAGAAGATAGTTTTGAAAAAAAAGCCATTCTCATTAAAAGGCTAAAAGGCCGCTTATATGTATTGAAAAATAAGCCATTATACACAAGCCGATCTTTTGCTTACAATTTTGCAGATGAAAAATTTGATACGTACGATCGCGAGATTTATTATACGCGCTTAAATTTGATACGCGTATATATTGAAACACAGCCTTAATTAATTTCCTTGGTTTTTAATTCAGTTACTATCGTTAATAATAATAATAATAATAATAATAATAATAATAATAATAATAATAATAATAATAATAATAATAATAATAATAA